AACCAATTGGTTCTTCTACATATGAAAACAAAGTATAGTCACATTGCCAAATCTATATAAATTTCTAACCACGTATTATGACATGAAAAATATAAGCCCAAATACTAGATGGCATAGCGGAGAAGAAAGGACTCACAAGCCAGGGGGAGTGGTTATCATTGGATCCCAGCTTGTGAAATTGCCTTTGCAGTATTGTTGAGCTTGAGGTATGTGAAATATCTCATCCTGCAACATAAATTAAGGTAAATATGATGCCACATTGTGTGCCTGTATGAATTTGAGAAGAAAATTGCATGAAAAAATCAAAATTATTAACCATGTAAGGCTCAGGGACAATGAGATTGACTAGAACCGATACGGGAATCACCCACAAGCTTGCAATGAATGCTACTGCTATTTTCCCCATTTTTGCTCTCCCCCCTAAAGCCGCAGCCTATTAGTACTGATTAACAGAATGATTCGCCCAAAATCCAAATTCTTAATAGGGTGCAGGAATTGAAGGAAGGAGCTCGAATTTGAAAATCCAGAAGAAAAAATCCCCCCAATCAAAATCCAGAATCGATTCAGTCGTTTAACACAAGTCCAGGATTGAAAAGAATAGTTAATCACCGCCAAAGAAAATATGCGCAAGTTCCTCAAGCAGCACTGAAGGCGTGAACGGAATTCAGGAACTTGATGTGTGGATTGCTCGGTCTCTCAGTCGATTGTATAATTAGATAAAATATGTTTAGACTTTAGATTGTGATTGAAGCGATCGGAAGTGCCGCAGATGGAGCTGGTCACCGTCACTGACGCCGACGCCACAATATCATGGACTCAGAAGCTCGTTCCTGATGAGCATTTCCAGGATCGAGGATCCTACTACCAATCCGTCTTCTCCATCGCGAGCTAAGGGCATCCACAGATGTACAAATGTGGGTCCCACTCCAAATTCAAAGATGTTCTTCTAACCCCTCTCTCAACATCCAACTAGTCCAATGGTGACATCATGTTTAGATGTCTAAACATTTGTTCTACTCCAAATAAATAAAATAATCTTTTATTTTTTTATTTAAAAATTGGTATATAAATAAAAAATAAAATTTATATATTTAAAAAGTACATTAAAAGTTTTATAAAACAAGATGTGACAAGAATATTTTATTTAATCAAATAATTAAAGCTTTTATTAATACATTGCTAACAACACACCACGGTAATAAATGAAAAAAAACTATTCCCTCTGTTTGGAAAAAGTCTTCCCACTTTGACTATAAGGCAAAATAAGGAAGTGTAAAATTATAGTTGACTTACAATTTTACCCCTCATGTGATGGATAAAAGTAAGATGTGATGGATTTATTATTAGAGAAAAAAGTATGATGTGATAGATAGGGTATGAAAAAGTAAGGGTAAAAGTGATTTTTTAATATAAAGGAGAAGTGTTTTGTTGGAAGTGAAAAAAATGAAAGAGGAAGTGTTTTTGAGAACGGATGGAGTATATTTTAAAACACTAAGTTGGTTTGTGTAATTATTTTAAAACACTCCATTGGTTTGTATAATTATATTAAAACACTCAATACTCAATTGATTTGTATAATTATATTAAAACACTCAATAGTCATACTGAATAGGAAAATAATTTTTTTAAAAAAGAAAGTCATTGCAATTGGAACACGATAAAATTGCTATCTAATTCTAAGAAAAAGCTATTAATAAAAACCCTCTACACTAATTAAAAGAAACAAATAAATAATAAAAAAGACACATGGCACATAAACAATTGGAGCACTATATTAAAGTAATTAAAGGAAGTATTAATTTCAAGTTGGAACATCGGTGCTCAACCTAGCATCTTCTCTTCTCTTTCTTCATTGGGCATCTATATTGATCATCTACCTACAATGGTAGCATCTCTTAACATTTCATTCTCTCTCATCTAGGCATCTCACTTGAGCATCTCATTGGAGATAACCTAATTCAGATTTGGGGTTTGGGAAGTTCAATAGAGAAATCTGTTGTAATGCCGACGTCACTAATCCTTTCAATTTTTCCAATTTTTTTAATGTAATGTTCTTCGTCCCGCAAAAAGCTAATGGGTGCCACATGTGCCCCAAATTTTGTACCTATTGTACACCAAAAGTATGCATCACATTTTGATGGCCTACACTGACACAAAATATTGGTGCGTTAACAAAAATTACACTGACACAAAGTATTGGTGCATTAATAAAAATTAGCATTACACTAACACAAAATATTAGTGCATCCCTATGGTGTACAAAATGGGGTACAAATCCTTATAGTACAAATAGCTTTATCCTTTTTTATTCCATCATAAAAAAGATTTCATTTTTTTTTATTTTTACAAGAGTTTTTGTTGCTCATATAATTATTTCACTATTTGCACCGCTTTCAATCGTACAATTTTATATCGGTAAGCGTCACACAATTGACAAGGCAAGAGGTGTTGAAGGGATAACACTCGAGTTCGATTCCTAGCAATTACGCTAGTCACTGAGAGGCAACTATGTTTAACATAATTTCTTTGCAAGTATGCTTCATTGTTTGTGATAAATATGTAATAAAGTTTAATTTACTTCTTTTCAAGTGATCATCCGATCGGTTCTGAGAGATACTCAGAAATGATGTTCATCTTTTTTCTTTAATTGTACAATTTTACTTTTCCCTTGGTGCCAAGCAAGCCAAATATATTACTCTTTTGTGAAACAAAACTACAAAAGAATGCACTCGCGAGGGATAATAAACTAATAATTTAATTACGGAGTATAAAATAAGGGATCATTTTTCATTTAAGAAAAAACAAAAGGAATATAAAATTGTCTAGAAAAAGAAAATGAGTAAAAATAAAAAAAATTACTCCAAATAGAAGTAAAACATACTCCGTAGTATTTATCCTCACAATAAAAGTTCCATATTTTTATCCTAAAATAAGAATTTTGCACTAGGATATTATGACAATGTATAGTAGCATCTTGCTGTATTTTTTTTAATTCGAATCCAAACGCGAATCAAATTTTGCGTTCGAATCTTATCAAATACGAATACTAGGATATCTTTTTTTTTTTTTTGAACCGAATGCAAAATATATTCATCACCGAAGAATATAGAAGTACAAGAATCAGTATAAGTGAGCACCCTCACCGCACTATACAAAACCAAGCCTGAAATAGAATCTAGCTACTCAATTTGGCTCCCCTAGAATTCAAGGAGGTTGTAACTTGAAAAATAACCCATTGTACAGACATACTCTCTGTTATATTAATATTGTTATGCAGTATAGAGTTCCTTGCTCTCCAAATTGCATATACACACGCTGCGTATATAGCCGTAATCATCCATCTTCTTCTGCTTGGTGTAATAGTCTTCAGCCTCTCCATGACTTCTTCAATGGTCGTTCCCTCAAAGCTGTACTTACACCATGTCTTTAATCCAAGATACATTGTCTGAGCATAGTTGCATCTACAGAACAGATGCTCTATATTTTCCTCCCCATCCTTGCACAAGAGACAGTATGTATCAATTGGGAGAAATTTACCAAGCCTACTCTTTGTTTGCAGCCTATCTTTACACACCAGCCATAGAATGAATTTATGCTTTGGTATAGAGAGCCTATTCCACACTACACTGCCCCAGGATGGGGTTTGTTTCTGCCCCAACAGCCACTTATACCCTTTATCAGGGTTGTATTCTTCAGCATATTGCATTTCCTTAAAGCAGTCCCTTACCTTAATCAATTTTTTTCCAGTAGTAGCATGAATCATTTTTCAATGTGCAATCCCAAATAGAAGTCTCTTTAAGATACCTGCCATGCACCCATTTAATCCATAAGGTGTCTTCTTTCTTAGCAATACTCCAGATTAATCTCATGATACAGGCTGTGTTCCATAAAACAACGTTTCTGATTCCCAGGCCCCCATTATTTTTTGGTAAACATATCTCATCCCAGACAACCAAGGGGTGTTTTTTGTATTCTGGGGAGGAACTCCAGAGGAAATTCCTGCATAGAGCTTGGATCTTCCTCATAACCTTTGTAGGTATTATGAATATTCTGCACCAGAAATTCATGATACCAAATAAGACTGAGTTAATTAAATTGACCCTCCCAGCATATGATAGGTGTTTTGACCCCCAAGAATTGATTTTTTGAGTCATACTCTCCACAAGCTTATCACATTCCTTATTGCTTATCCTTGATGCAGTGATGGGGCCCCCAAGATATCTAAAGGGAAAGGAACCCTTGCTCATATTGGTGATTGCAATCAGTCTGTCCTCCATTTGTCTAGATACTCCCCCAAATATTATCTCAGACTTGGAAGGATTCACTTGTAGGCCTGTTGTGTTTTTAAAGTGAGTCAGAACATTCATAATAGTTTGGACAGATTTTTCACAAGCCTTGCTGGCAACTATCAGATCATCTGCAAACACGATGTTAATGATCTTCATTGATTTGCATAAAGGGTGGAAAGAGAAACCCTCTTGGATGGCATAGTATTGGAAACTTCTTGTTAAGTATTCCATGATTATTACAAAGATAAGGGGGGAGATGGGATCCCCTTGTCTCAACCCTTTTCCTCCCTTGAAGAAACCAAAGTTTTCACCATTAAGTTGTATGGAATAGGAGGTGGTTGTGACACAAAATCTGATCCAGTTTGAGAACTTTGAAGGGAACTTGAGGTATATTAGCAGTTGTTCAATTGCCTTCCAACTAACATTATCGTACGATTTCTGTATGTCAAGTTTTATCAAACATCTGGGGGAGATACCCTTTCGGCCATATCCTCTCGCTAATTCCTGGCAGAGTAAGACGTTGTGAACTAGTTCTCTTCCCTCAACAAAAGCCCCTTGGTTTTTATCTATTAGATTAGGGAGCACTTTCTTCAACCTGCCACAGATTATTTTTGCTATTATCTTGTAGAGAACATTACAACATGCAATTGGTCTCATATCCAATGGGCTTTTAGGAGTCTCCTTTTTTGGTATAACAATGACATTTGTTGCATTTATCTGCTTGATTGATTCCCCTTTCTAGAAGAACTCCTGAACTGCATTTGTAATGAGTGGACCCACCTTATGCCATTGATTCTTAAAGAATCCACTACTATAACCATCAAAGACAGCTTTCTTAACTTCCTCAGGAGATATCGGGGAGATAAGTTTCATTTGCTGTTCAATGGAGAGGCACTCTCCCATATCCACAATATCCTTGCTTATGTCTTCTGTCATCTCCATTTTACCTAATTGATTTTGATAATAATCCACCAGGACTTTTGCTACTTCTTCCTTGCCCTCCTTTACCTCTCCCGTGGAGTCAGTAATTGTAGTAATGTGGTTTTGATACTTCTTTTTCTTGAGCCAGGCATAAAATAACTTAGAATTCTGGTCCCCCATTGATATCCAGTCAACTTTAGATTGATGGGTCCACATAAGGAACCTTGCTTTCATTTTCATTTGGAGTTCTTTCCTCAGCTCCTTCTCTGCCTTGAGGTCAGTAGGGTTAGACCCTCCCTTTCTCAATACCCCTTGAGCTGCATTGAGTCTGGATCTGGTTTCTTCAATTTGATCATCTAATGATTTAAATTTATTTCTGTTAAGACTCTTCAATGGTTCTTTCAGTTGCTTTAGTTTCTGGACCACTTGGTGCATCAGGTACCCCTGGTGATCCTTGTCCCAAATTTCAGCCACTATATTTGGGAAATGGGGATCCAAGGTCCACATATCACAAAATTTAAAACTGGCGTGTTTTCTATCTTGTACTAGTGATTTGAGGATCATAGGTGAATGGTCAGAGATCCCTTCCTCCTTGAAGTAAACTTTTAGGTTGAAACTCAGCACCCAACTCACATTCCCCAGAACTCTATCAAGTTTAGAGTAGATTCTTCTTCCAGTTTCTTGGTTGTTAGTCCATGTGAACTTGGGTCCCTCATATGGGAGATCCTCCAGCCCACATTCATTAAGGCAGTCTTGGAAATCTTGGAGATCCTCCCGACTAACTTGAGTTCCACCTATCTTCTCATCCAGGTGAAGTATTGTATTGAAATCACCTAGTACACACCAAGGAGATGGGACTTTATGATTACTTAGGTTTTTCCACAGTTCCTTTCGTTTGTTCTGATCATTATGGGCATAAACAAAAGTCAAGAAGAATTCATTGTCCCCTCCAATAAATTTCCCTTGACAATGAATTGCTTGATCAGAACTCTCAAGGATCTTTAGAATAACTTTATTTTGATCCCATATAATCCATATCCTCCCAAGGGGATGAGCATCATTATTAATGAATGAATTCCATCCCTTCACAATTCTTCTAGCTACCATTTCATAATTGCAATCTCTTATTTTTGTCTCCAACATATCCATGACAGCCACTTTATTTTTATTGATGAAATTCCTGACTTCGTACTGTTTATTTATGCTGTTGAGGCCCCTAATATCCAAGCAACCAATCATAATAAGAAGGGGAGATGCCCCTTATACGGGGCTAAACTAAGATCCTTGTGTAACAATCCAATGTAATTTGATTCCTTTCCTTCCATAGATATTCTTCTGGCTGCCTTCTTTTTACTAACCTCAGTATAGCCTTCATCCTCATCTTCTGTTATTGTTACCGCTTCAGGCTCTCCTTTATCCAGAGGGATAGGATAGGGGGGAGGATCGTGTCCCACTTCAGGCTCCTGCTTCTCATTCAGGATATTGGCAGTTTCATTTTTTGGCCTCCACTCCATTTTCTTTTTAGTGGTTTTCTCTTTACTATCACTTTTTTTCCTGCAGTTCTCAAACTTATGTCCAATCCTATTGCAGTGTGAGCATAGTGTTGGCATCCATTCATATATGACTTATATATGACTGACTGTGTAATGATCCTTCCTTCTTCATTTATGAAGTTTATTTGGTCACGAAATTTTTGATTTACCTGAACTTCCACCTGAATCCTAGCATAAGCCCATTTCCTCCTTGAGGCTGTAGCTCCATCTCTCTTAATAGGCTGTCCAATAGTGCTGCCTAGTCTACTTAGTCCAAACAGGCTCCAATACTTCATTTCCAGGTCAGGGAACTGAATCCAAATGGGAATGTCTTTGCGCTCCAATATATTGACTTTACATCCAGGGTACCATGCTTATTCGTATATAATTCAAATTATTTGTTTATTATAAATATAAGCAAATAAATATATATCATGAATCATTTATAAACGATAGATTAAAATAAATGGCTCAAATCTTTCCATAACCTAAAAAACCATTTTATAATTTAAAAAATGTAAAATATTTCGAACATTCGAAAAAATATTCAAATAATAATTCGAATCCTATACGGATATGGTTTATGATTCGAATACGACTACAAATTTGAATATCTCCAACTTTTTTCGAATTCGGATAAAATATGCATGTATTTGATTCGATTTGCATGCATCCCTAATCATTATTGTATAACAAATTAAAATCTGACTATAGCAAAGATGCATATATACTGTAGGGAACGTTGGGTGACATCCCAATCCCACACTGGAGTAACATGAGAAAATGGGCCTAAATAAATGGGTTAAATCCAACACATTAGTACTCCTTATGAGGCATTTTGGAAGGTATCTAAAAATAAAATCGTGAGAATTTGCTACAAAGCAGACAATATCATATTAATGCGGGTTAAAATGAGGGTACGCACAGTCCCATATATTATTGAAGCCCAGGTTCTGTGTGGTCAAGAATGACAAACCGCGACATTCAGAATTCTTGGATTTGACAACATCTAACCGAAGGAGTTCCATGTGTTGTGCGGATTGCAACGGTAATAGAGCAAATCGAAAATGGATAATTGCTGGAGGTGAGGTTTGTTGGGTGACAACCCAATCCCACGTTGGAGTAATATGAAAAAATGGACTTAAATAAATAGGTTCAACCAAATCGACTAGTATGAGGCCTTTATGGATGTTTTCAAAAATACTACGTAATACTCTGTATCATACAAATGCGGGATTGGAGTGAGGTTATGTATGGTCTGTCCCAATAGTGATACGGGCCTAACCATACTTGGTTGAGGATAAAATCCGACTCACATGCATGGAATGACCCATTGGGGTTACCCATGGCCCATGGGCAGGGGAAGAGCAAGGTGAGTCCAAGGCACGCCTGAGCCAAATCGAGAAGGGTGCTAGACAATCACAGGGGAGTATGGAGATCAATGGCGTAAAAAAGAAGGCTAAAAGAGCATACCTCAGCTCATCCTTGAATAATCCCATATAGGGCAACGCTCCCGGCATAGGCGAACGAACGGGGGCTGAGAGGCACGAGGTTACTCTCGTACCTTAGCTATAGTACGACACTAATGCACAAGCCATCGCTAAGAATCAGGGCAAAAAATAATTGCCTTATGCTAGAATACAAATTACAACCACACACTTTCATTTCAATGGAGTAATAACTCTAATAACTTTGTATAGTCAATTGTAAAACCTTATTTTGGGACGACAAATTATTAGAAACACCTCATAATACGAGCATATTAGGGGCATTCCACATAAGACATTACCTTTAACAATATTGTATCTCACAAACACGCGCAGATAGTTTGCACATAGACAAATACGACAATTACGTAGTACTCGGTATTATACTATATGTGTATGCAAGACACTATGCTCTCAAATGTAGGGTTCCCCAAACTTTTTGTGAACTATCTAATCCTCAATTGGTACTCCAATTAAATGGCAACTTGACAATAGGCGTGATGAAATGGACAGTCACACAGAAGGAAACAAAAAATGAACACAGTCATGACTCATGACTGAAACAGAAAAAATGGCAAAAACCAGCAACACTCACAAGTATACATTGCAGTCTAAAAATCCGTCATTTTCCTCCGTCTGCGTCTCTGCCTTTCCCTCGCAGGTTCCTCGGCCGTCCAATGGCCAAAATATCCCCTCTACCGATATCCACATTTTTCTGGAAATCGTCAACAGCATTTCCAGTCTCCGCCGCATCTACTGCACAATCCGGCGGTAAGAAGAAAAATCAGCCACCGTACAATATTTCAAATGAATGTGAATTAGGTTTAGAAACATTCATAATACTGCAATTTACCTTCAGGTTTAGGAAATGCCTTGAACCCTCTGAACTGAGCCATTTCTGAAATTAGCAATTCGCACAACTGGATTAGCAAAAAAATGTTCGCGAACAGAATCCGCGGAAGTGAGATGAATTGAATTTTTATGGCGTCGATTGACTGACTCACCGTTCTCATAAGGAGTGCGAGACGAGAGGTAGAGGATGAGGAAGCAAATTAGAGTCAGGACGGGGATGAGATGGACGAAGTACTCGGATTTGGAGAGATGCTTGGCGGACTTGCGTTCCTCGTCTTCTCCGGCGTAGTTGACTTGGATAGCGACGAAGGAATCCGCCGCTGTGACGCCGGCGGATGAGGCGTCGTCGCGGCCTCCTTGAGCGTGGTGGAGCTTCGATCCGGGCGAGCCGAGGGATTGCCGATGCATTTGTTCGAATTGAAGGAGCGCGAGAAAATGTGAGAATGACGGTCGTTGAGTGCCGCTCGGCTATTTAAATTTAGGGTAAACACTCAGGTTGCACCAACAGGTGTAAAATTAATTTTTATTAGTGCACCAGCACTTTGTATCTGTGTAAATTTTTGTTAATGCACCAACACTTATATCGGTGTAAACCATCAAAATGTTTGTGTATAACTGCGGTGTACAAATGGGGTACAATTTGTAGTGTAAGTGTAGCATAACCCTTAAATTTACTCTATAAAATTAGAAATTAGGGTAATACAGCCTAATACTCTCTCCGTGTTCATTTTATCTTTTTACTCCCTATTTTTTAACCATTCACAAGCTACATTTGTTACACGAAATTCAAATTATGATATTAGAATTTGAAATAATAATTCTAATTATGTTATTTCGTAACACAAGAATGTGTAGATTTGAAATTTCTAGTGCCAAAAATGAATTAGAATTGGAAAATTTAATTCCAGTCAAAACAATTTCATAGAATTTCAACTCACAATTCAATTTCAATTACGTAAATTCTGTGTACCAAACCGGATCCACAAACTCCAATTTAATACTTTGATTATTACTATTGATATATATATACAAAAAATATATTTCATCAAAAAAAATATATTTTATAAATTTTTTTTACTTCAAGACTATGTATCAAAGGGAACTCTTGATATTATATTTATATCGAAACACAATGCATTTTTTATAAATCAAGGTCAAAGTTTGCAAACTCTAACTAAGAAAAATCAAATAACAAGATTATATTCAGACGGAGAGAGTATCAAAATATACACTCTCTCGCACAAAATTATCCTCACAGTTATTAATCTAGTTTAACGATGATTTTTGTTTGTATATTTTCATTAATAATTTGATAAAATAAATTAGGGAAAAAGATTAAAGTAAAAGTAAAACATTGAAAACATATCAAAATAGAACTTACATGTTTTTATTCCCGAAATAGGAGTTAAAATACATTTACATTACCAAGCATGGTCATGTACATTACCAAAAATGTATAACAATGTGCACATGTACAGTGCCACATTACAACCACATTAACACAATGTGAAGTCTTGTTTCGAGAATAAAAACATGGAACTCCTATTTTGGTACTTTTTTCTATGTTTTAGTCTTATTTAGGGTGAGTTCTAAATAAATTATGCATGTAACTTCATATTTTGTAGAACTTTTGATATAACTTTTAAATATGAAATTTACAATTCTATACAAATTTGTAAACAAAATAAATTTAAAAAAAATGTGATTTTACACACTGTTCAAAGTGAAACAATAACTTTTGGTCAGAGAGAGTAGTTATGGTTCCTCAAGATTCTTTTTTTGAAAGCATTCCTCAAGATTCTTTATATTCAAAGAAATCACTCAGAATAAGAGTAGAACTGAAAAACATAGCCTTATCCCATAATAAAAATAGAATGTTTTTATCTTCAAAATAGAAGTTTGTATTATGATAATGTGATAATGTATATTGACATTTCATAATCTCTTTTGGTATTATATACTGACATTTTTGGGTTTTTAACTTCTATTTTAGAATAAAAACATAGAGGTTTTATTTTGATATTTTTTCTATATTTTACTTCTAGTTTAGTTTTTCCTTGTGTATACTCTATTTGTCCCAATTTTTTTTGGAAATATAGTGACACGGAGAGTTAAAAATAAAATTGTGTTTAATACTCCGCTTTATGTTCAGAGAAGAAAGTTAAAGTAAGAATGAATCTAGTTACATAAATATAACTAAGATTTTGTTTCTTCAACTTATTCTTATTGGAATCAGATCTAATCAAAAGTAAATTTAATTATAACTACAATTAGATTAGATCAGAACTTATTCTTATCAGATAGAATCAATTAGATTATGCGAGGAGAACAAACCCTAAATAAGAAATGAAACAAAAATAGTGAGACAAGAAAACACTAGAGAGTAAAAAAGGACATAAACAATGAGAGAGATGAAGTGTTATCTACATAGTCAACCTATTTTTTCATCTACGCATTTTCATACTCCCTCCATCCCCAATTTGATTACAAATTGCGAGTTACGGAGTAAAATTTCCTACTTTTTGAAATCATTTTATTTACAAATTGGTATATCAATAAGATATAAAAATTACATATTAAAAAACTACGTCAAAAGTTCTACAAAACAAGAGGTAACAAGAATATTTTAATTTATCAAATACTTAATGAAATCGCGTAAACAAACAAAAGTTATCGAGAGGAGAGAAAAAAAATTGTAATCTATTTAGGGACGGAGGGAGTATATCATTTGATACACAAATAGAGAGTATAGTGATGTCACATTTTTTATAGACTTTTTATGTAATTTTTAAATATATAAATTTTATTTTTTTATTTATTAAATAAATTGGGTAGAAAATACCCTTTCGAGAGACGGTGATTTTTTTTAAAAAAATTTAAGAAACGGTAAAACTCACCTCGTTCTAATATATTTGTCCAATTTAACTTTTTAGAGTCAAGCTGCATGAATTTTGACTTGCAATTAAATAAAACTCGTAATGTATAATTATATAAAGATAATTTTATTAGATTTATTGTGTGAAAAGCTTTTAAAACTTTATTTGTTATACTAATATTTAATAGAAATTGAGGTAATTGTAGCTCAAGTCTATGTATTTTGATTCCAAGAATCCAAGGTAGTAGTGATTAATTTGGAACCAAGACTAAAAGTGGCCTTCACGGGCCGGAAGGTTCGCCGGTCTCCAGGGACAAGTTCTAGGCTTCACAAATTCACACACCTGCCTTGCCCAGAACGAAACCGAATGGTCAATTTATTCATGCTTCTGCAGAAAATCAAAAGTGAAACTCATTCGCGGACATTTACGCTGGTTCTGGTATTGCATTTTGAGATAGATATATAGATTATAGATCGATAGAGAGGAACATAATTTAAAAGAAGAAAAAAGCTTTGGAGGAAGGAGGAAGGTGTTGCGATTGGGGGGGAAATGGTGCTGTGGGAGATTACATTGGCATCGGCGTATTTCCTGGGCTTGAAGAGAACCTACAGACTCGCATTGAAGATTCAGCGGCGGGTGATTAGCCCTAAGTATCCTAAGATTCGTCAATTTGCTTACAGGTAATTTCGATCGTCTCCTCCATCGTCGTACACCTTTCTTCTCAATTCACGATATTAGCTCAATCTAAGTGTAGCGCCTTTAAAAAAGATGAAATATGCTAATGAATTTTCTGTGCAATGTCCTGATAATCCTAGATAGAATCCTTGGTTATATCTGAAGGTCGAATTAGTTTGATAGATTTATCATATATACTCCTTCAAATGGTGAGCGCATCTGGAACTCTACCTTAGGATGTGATCTAATATTACTATGTAGTTTTCATCTGCACTGATAGTGTAACCAGTGCCAAGTAAATCTGTATACATCTTACCCTCTCTAGACTCTTCTTCCGAGTTCAGAATCGGATATATCGTGTAATAGATCCTTCTTCCAAGTTTCGAATGAGATATATTGTGTGTAATAGACCCTTAGTCCGAGTTCTATATGGGATATATTGTGTAATAGACCCTTCTTCTGCATTCCGAATGAGATATAATGATATATTGCGTGTAATAGGCCCTTCTTCCAAGTTCCAATGGGATATATTGCATATGTTTGGCTGTTTTGGTTTATCTGCTATTTTCTTTTACCTCCTTGCATAGTTCTCTCCATAATGAATCTGCTAAGTAAGTCGAATATGCTTGGTTATGGGTTGACAAAAGGTAGTAGATAATAAAGGGAAAGGTTAACTAGACTTTTTGAAGGTTTGAACTGTTGAACTGACCAAAAAAGGAAAGATGTCATTCTTCTTGGTTCAACCCAAAAAAAGAAAGTGTGCCATACTCTTAGGGAAGGAGGGAGTATTTTTTATTTCATGTTCAGTTTAAAATGAAGTATGACATCGACAAATAGTGTTGGTGACTTTACATGAGGATACAAAGATGTGAAGATCTTTACCTGTAAAATCACAGCAGACATATACAGAGTAATTCTTTGCACAATATAATAGGAGATGCATATGTATACATGGAATTAACTTGTGTCAACATCGTGTGTGTACTGGTTTGAATCTATTGTAGAGTATATAACTATGAAGTAAACTTCACTTCTTGAGAAGTGAGAACCTTTTCAGCGCGAGCAAGGCCCAATTAATATAACTGTTATTTTGCAGTGTATTGAGATCATCGTTGATTTACAATATCAATGTTGTAATGAAGCCCGAATGTAACAATTATTCTCAAACTACTGTTCATATTTTCCGTCCATACATGTGGAATAAGTGAATAACCTATGATGTTGCTGGTTTTAGAATTTTTGTTTCTTTTCATTATCCCTTCTTACAAAGGTTGTAACGGTAAGCCGTCTAATGTAACATTGCCACTATGCTTTTGCATGAATTTATAGTGTTAATTATCTTTGTACACTTAATCCCAAGTGGTTGGCGTTAGGGCAGTGGTGATGATGATGATATGTGTTTGTGTGTGTGCGTGTGTGTATCAGAAACATCACAATTTAAATATGTAAATTCTATTTTTCCCTTTCTCTGTATGCGTGTGTTCAGAAACGACATTTTTTCTGTAGCTTACAAGTTAGGAGTAAGACAATCCTCAATGGTGTGTGGGATTTAGGAATTCTAAGCCAATATTTTTTTGAGGGGAAGAATTCTAAGCCAATATGATAAATGACACATCATCAATATCATAATTTTTTAAAATTCTAAATGCCTTCTCTATCACACAATGGAGGAATTGTGTTTGGAGTTCTCACTGACAATATATTACTCCATAAAATTTAATGTGGACCTTAGTCGATGTTGTAAAAGTTTAAAAAAAATACGGAGTATGCAGCTTTGCAGTGGAGAGCCGCATGTGATTGGCTCATTGGAGCTCTCCCAATTTCAATCTCTCTCTTCCTTTATTAATTTTTATTCAATTTCAGAATTCTTCAACCCCCATTGTGGGTAGTCTAATATTTCAAGTCTTCTATATTTCTGTGCAAGTTACCATGCAATTTTGCGCAATGCAGTAATTTTCTCAAATGGATCAAGAAACCTTGTCATTTTTGTATGGTGGAACCATTTGGCTTGCTTTTCGTTATGTCATCTAGCTCTGATTGTATTGCAGGCGAACAAGGGGTGTGTTTGATGTGGCACTGAAGGTCCATAGGAAAA